CTCCCTCCCTCCCTTCCTCCCTCTCTCCCTCTCTCCCTCTTTCTCTTTAGCTCTCGCTCTCTGCGCACACACTCCGTAGAGAGACTCAATTGTCGCAGAGTATCACCGTTTTATTTGTCAAACCATTTGTGTTCCGGGTGTTCTGCCCGTAAGGCGCCATAGCCCCTTGGGCAGGCAAACCCGCCCGCACCTGTGTCTTTTAAGAAACCCCCGGCACAGCAGTCACAAGTGCAGGACACACTGTTAACGCCGTGGTCGCCTTGCGCCATAACATTGGCAGTCTTTTTTGTCTTTTTGACTTTTGGAGGCTGCCAACTTTTGGCAGACTTTTGGAGGCTGCCAACTTTTGACTCCTTTGAATGCCACATTTTATGCCGTCTTTTGGAGGCTACTATAATATTTAGCCTCTTTGAATGCCAAATTTTCGCCTTCTTTCTAAAGAAGGCTGACTGTTGCCATTCCAAAATGCCAAAACTTGGCAGCCTCTAAAGGACAGCCAAAATTTGGCAGCCTCTAAAGGACAGCCAAAATTTGGCAGTCAAAAAGGACTGCCAACATTTTGTCATTCTAGGCGACCACGGCGTTGGCAGTGCATGACGACGTGCGCTACAGTTACAGCTTTACATACCATACAAATAAGGGCAGTGCGACACCTGACACCTGTAACCGTCGGACACACTCTCTTACTCTCAAAACTGCAGTACACAAAATGGTATCACACATAAACCTGCAGTACCATGAAACTGTGATAGTGTACGACCCTTGAGCTATAAGCAGAGCAGGGCTTTGACCCAGATATCGCTTCCTGGGCCCGCGCCCTGGAGCATATGCTCCGCTGCCCGCGACCAGATGCCCGCTGCGCCGCACCTTAGGCCGGCCCTGGAGCGGACCCTGGAATCCTCGCCCTGCTTGGCATGCGGACGTGATGCCTTCCGCTATCCCAGCCGGCGCTAGAACCTATGCTCTTCGCGGTTTCTCCAGGAGGAGACCGGTGTGCTTCAGAGCTGAGCGACGCTGCTGAGCGCTGCTGAGCGTTGCTGAGCCTGCTGGTTGTCCTCGCCCTGCCGCGCCCCGCTCCAGGCGGCCCGTACAGAAATGTCTGTTAACATCAACAGGTGGCGGACCCCGGCCGGGCTGCGGCCCCGGCGGCCAGGGTGGATAGACCTTCCACGCGAACCAGTCCAAATTCCCGTCGCTTCCCTCTCCTTTCCCCCACCCTCTTCGTGTGGCCCTTTAGACCCACCTTGACGCTCTCTCTCCAGCTTTCACCCCCTCTCTCTCTCTCTCTCTCTCTCTCTCTCTCTCTCTCTCTCTCTCTCTCTTCCCCCTTGCTCGCAAAGCAAGTCGAGCCCACGTCTTTGAGCCCTTCCCGTTGCGGCTCCCCTCCCCCTCCCCTCCGTCCTTGGCCGCCCCGCCCCGCCCCGCCCCACCCCTCCTAGAACACCCCCACAGCTGTTTGAGCCTCGGACGCCGGCCGCGTGGGGCGCCACCCTCTTGGCTCGACGCCCTGCCCCAGACCGGCACCCCAATCCTCCCCATCCACCCGCCTCCCCAGCGCCCACCGCGCACAGCCTCTAGAGCCCGACATTCTAAA